ATTTCAACGTCCAATACGTTGAACTTACGTTTTCAACGTTCAATACGTCGAATGTACGATTTGAACGTTCAATACGTTGAATCTACGACTTAAATTTCGACTCGGGGTGGTTTGTTCCTCTCTTTGGGTTCTTTCGTAGACTTATCGGTAAGAAAATGTTATTTTTTTAACGATATTTTATTTTCAGATAAAGAAATTTTTTTTTCACTCTTTCAGGGAGTACCCCATTTTGCCCGCAAAAAAAAAAAATTTTTTTTCGACGGCAACTTGAAATTTGATTATTTTCCTTTAATTACGACTGAAAACGAGAAAAATCAGCGTATTCAAGTCCTTAAAATCATAACGATTGCTTAAGTACCCCATTTTGCCCCCCCCTCCCCTAATATTTATCAATTTAAAGATTTTAAGACGAATAAGCAAATCAAATTTTTGAACTTGAGATGCTTATAAGAATATGTAAAAAATAATATATTTGGTTTTTAGGTTCTTAAAGGTGGAACTGTTGGAGGGAAAATAAAAAAAATGGGAGAAGCTAAGGAATTTAGTGAATTATCCGATGATGAAAAAAAATTACTCTACGGTAAAAAATTAGATGAATCAGTTTTGAAGTGTGATACCTACTTATATTGATACTCAAGGAATGAATAAGAGTCTAAAACTCAATGTTTATTTGTCACATGTAAGTTTTTGTGCACATTTCATGAATCATTCATGATTAATTTTTTTTTATTCCATTTACAGGCCCCAGTTTATACTAATTTACGAACTCGAGATTCAAATTGATTAAATGAAAATTAACATTGAAAATTTTTTATGTACTTTCATTGCTAAAAATTTATAATTATTATTTGCCTCAAATATCAATCAGAAAATTGTTAATATAATAAATTCAAATATTTAATTTTGAAAATCTTTTATTGTTTCGATTTTTAACTAATTGTTTTACTAGTTTAATTTTTAGAATGTTAGTATTATAGCACCAATTTTTTAGAGTCAAATAAGAACTTCTTTATAAAATAGTTCATTCAAAAATTGTTATACATGCGTTAGAAATTTTGCATGGACGTAGTTACTAGTTGTAAATTTTTATGTTTATGTCAATGATTATTTTTAACTAAAATGAAGATAAATTTATATTTAAAAAAAATCAAGCAAAAAGTTGTTTTTTAAATATCAATTTATTTGTTGTTGCATATCATTATAAAAATATAATGAATAAAATGAAAACTACAGTATCCTATATATCATTTACAATTGTGTATTGAGTGAATATAATCACAATAATTCTTATATCTTAATCGTAACATTATATTTATTTTAATGAAATGAGGTATTAAAAAAAAATAAGAATGTAAAAATTTTCAAAATTTTTCACTCATGTATTAAATAGAATAACATATTATACATTATAATATGAAGTAACAATATGCACAAAAATTAGATCCATACGCACAGCTATACATAATTAATTTTCGTGTTACAATTTGTAAATTACTAAATTGAAATTATTAAAAAAATTTTTTAATAATTTCTTCGTTATTTATTGCGTGTATAATGCTGTAAATAAATCATCACAATTTCGTATAAATTCATTATTTTGGTATAAAATTAATTAAAAAAAAAAAAATTGTCTATTATATAAAAAATGCTTGGTGTTTTATGTATTCTGATGTAAAATTTTAATAATTATTTTATCGCGTTAATGCCATCGAGATTCTGCAATTTTTATAACAAAAATTAAATTTATACATAAATAAATGAAGAATATTAGCGATAATTACTTGAAAATAATATTTTCTAAAAAATATGTGCATATTGATTGCATTAAATAATTGAGCGCACGTCAATTTCTCATAACTCGTATACGCATGCATTTAATTTATATATTCATTCACTCGTATCTTTTATTAATATCGTTTGTCATTGTAGATTTTATAAAGTTTTATTATCTTATAATTCGAATTCCTTAATTAATTTGAACAATGCATATTTTATCTTTACTAGGATGTAATCATTCATTCATTGTACTGCTTCAAATATTATTTTAATTCAACATACTGCTGTCAAAACTATTACTAAATAACTATTTTTTTTAAAATTATTTTACTCTTCTCTTTTTTTTTTTTTTTTTTTTTTCTTTTTACTAATTTAACTATCTTTATTAAAAAAATACTGATACTTATGGTCAATAATGGCTCAATTTCAATTATTTATATTTGATAGTTTAAAATATTTGAAAAAGAACACAAAAAACTGAAAACTAATATTAAAAAAATGGTTACTTTAATTAAGAGCCGAATTATTGATTGATGTTTATAATTAACTATTGAGATAATTAATAAAGCGTATATAGTATTAATTTCTACAGCCAGCAGTCAAAAATAGACTGGATCGCGGCACGAAGTCATCAATCCGATATTAAATAAAAGATACGTTTTGTTTCAATATTAAAAAATTATAAACGAGAACTCAATAAACATCTCGGAATACTGGTAAATTCTGTTTCAATTGCTACAAAAATAAATAAATAAAAATAGAAAAAAAAAAAAATAATATTAAAGGGTGACGCGACCGCTCATCCGCAGACAATTCATCCGCGACACTTCATCCGTGGACGATTGATCCGCACGATAACAACCTTATTAAAAGGGCGCAACACAATTACAAGCTTCTGTGTTGAACAACCTTGTTAAAACGTCACATCACAGATCAATTGTCGTGCGGATCAATCGTCGCGGATGAATTGTCTGCGGATGAAGTGTTACGTAACCTATTAAAGATGTTGCGAACTTTTCTCTCATTGTTGGAAGAATAAAGTAGAGAGAAAAGTGATGAGTCCTACACCGCGAGCAAGTCTTGGACGTGTTATTTCCAGTCCGCGAGAGACCGGCTCTCAAATGTATTTATACTCAATTTAAAAATAGACGATTGAAATATCTATTCAATTGTATTGAGTATCTAAACAAAGGAACCATGACAAATATTTATTGCCGTTTCTGTTTTAACTATGATGGATAATTTATAGACATCTTAGGATGATAAGAAAGCCGGATATAGGCAGATACAAATCTATAGACTCAATTGTATATTGTGTTTGTACAACGAAGAGCGGCCAATAATTATTATTGTGATTATTATTATTATTATTATCATCACTCATTGACAATGAGTGTCGTTGTACGCGAATTTCATCGCTATTGTTAAGACCCGCCGTCACGCCGCTGTCTCATTTAGCATCGGATGACAATATTTCTTGCAAGCTTACGTATGAACCAGTTACGAAACCGAGAATACCAAAACATATTATCAAAATGTTTTTCCACAGTTTCCAGTAAAAGGGTCCCAGACCATCTTCAGTTTCCCACACTGTTACTAATTCAATTATTGACGGGAACATAAGACCCAATGTTGACAGACATATCGCACCAACCAGTGAAATGAATGGTCCCAGCTTTGGTACTGCGATTGCTATACCAACAGTGAAGATAACAAGTCCAATTCTCACCAAATATTCAGCGTACAATTTTCGGGCTCCAAAGTGATGTTTCAAGTTTTTCCAAATTATCTCCATCGGTACATAGAATTGTAATCCATACGTGAGGAAAATAGCGACAGCAATCATTACTTTTACGGCTTGAGCTAATGGTTCTTCTGTTGGAAGATTCAAAGTTATTGATCCTTTGGTTTCATCGCCGAACCGATGATAACCGAAAAATCCAACAGTACTGTACAAAGATACTACGAAAAACATTCCGATGTTGAGAACTCCAGGGCATCCAATAAAGTGAGTTGGTGTCTTCATGTTGTTTTCCAAAGGCATAACCTGGTTAAAAATAATCAATGTTTAGACTCAATAACATTCAATATTTTTAACCCGCACGGAAAAATATGTATGTGAAAAATATATGTCAATATAGATGTGAAAATATATAAAAATATATGTTGTATATATTTGAACACATTTTTTTTTGCGTAAAATAATTATATGTGCACATATATATTGAGATATATGTCTCCATATATATTTAAATATATTTCAAATACATCTTCGATTACTTTTCCGAAATTATTTAATTTAACTTTTTTTTTAATTTGAAATTCTAATAATTGTAAAAGAAATAGCGCAAAAAAATTCACAATTCTCATAAATGTGCACTCATATATGTCAATATATATATATATATATATCATATAGATTTCGACATGTACAATCGTGGACATTAATTTAAGTATGTTTTTAAGTTTACTGGAAAATAGCCATTTGTAAACTCGAACGTTTATATACTATAAATTTGAAAATTAGTTGATAATGTCATTTGTAAAATTAGCCACTAATAAAAAATGATATTAATGAAATTAGCGAAATGGAAATTTCACCAAATATAAATTCAGTCATTTATAAAATAGCGAAAAACAAAAATTTGCGGCTATGTGAATTTAGCCAATTCTTACTGCAGAAACTTATCAAATTAGCCGATTGTAAACTTTGTGAATTGTAAAATTAGCCGTTTCTAAATCTCTTATAATTCTTGAATGGATCGACGGATCAAAAAACGATTTGAGGCATTTAAAAGGACTTTCATAAATTTAGTTTTTCTGAAAATTAGAGTAGATTCGACCGACCCATTCAAAAGTTATAAGAAGTTTAAAAATGGCTAATTTTACAATTCGTAAAGTTTACAATCGGCTAATTTTATAAATTTCTGCAGTAAGAATTGGCTAAATTCACGTAGCTACGCTATTTTATAAATGACTGAATTTATAGTTGGTGAAATTTCCATTTCGTTAATTTCATTAATATCATTTTTTATTAGCGACTAATTTTACAAATGACATTATCAACTGATTTTCAAATTTGTAGTATATAAACATTCGAGTTTAGTAATGGCTATTTTCCAGTAATATTAAAAACATACTTAAATTAATGACCATGATTGTATATTAGTATATAAATCTACATATATATGTTGCGTACATACAGAAATATATGTAACTTTTATATTTGGGTATATTTGAAATATATATTGGCATATATGTATATAAAAATGTTTGATGACATATATCTGAAAATATATTTAACATATTTTTTTTTGCGCACATATATATTGTATATATCACATCTATTTTTCACATACATATTTTTACGCGTGGGAATTGAGTATTTAAAAAAAAACAATTCCTGTTTTTTTTTAGTTATGATTTTAAATACTAGCTGATTTTTGAAATTTAAAAAACATATTTTTTCTAGAAATACGATTACAAGAAAAAAATTTTTTTTTTTAACCATTTCAAACACCAACATATAAACGTTTTTTTTTTTTTTTTGGCAGATATTTAAAATTGCAATTGCATCTATTTTTGGTTACAAATAAATATGATAGATTAAAAAAAATAATAACTTCTTGGAATAAATTCAAGTTACATAATATTTTAAAGAAATTCATTTTTTTTTTTTTTTCTATGAAAATTATAATTATTAAAAAAACAAAAATTATTTGATGAAATAAATTTCTTAATTTTTATGATGGTAAAAAATTTTTTATTTATAAAAAAATTGACTGAAAATTTAATTTTCTTCAAACAAACTTTAAGAATAAATTTAATCATGTTGATTATTCGATTAAGAACAAAAATAGGCAGATCCGTAAATAATTGCTATTTTTATTTAAATTAAAAAATTAAATGAATACTTACAACACCGATTCCTTCAAGAGCGAAGATGGCTGTGCCGAAGAACATTGGTAGCTGAGAAAAGCTCGAAAATCCCGGTACTGGTTTAAATTCAGATGTGTCACGGAAGACATAGTAGAAAGTGATTCCCATACCAGATGCGATTAGTATATTTGCAACCATGGAAAATGGTGAAAGCCATTTAAGATTTCTTATAAGAGAAAAAGCCAATAGTATGGGCAGTAAACATGCCATATAAACTGTTACGTCCAAGTCTTTTTTAGTGTAATTTTCAATTACTTGTTCCAAGTTTTCTCCGACAAATACGATGTAGACGCAGCAGCAACCAAGTAAATCGATTACTAAAAATGTATTAATCGTTGCTCTGTAACATAAAAGATACATTGATAAATAAATTATTTTTCTTTTGAATAAATGAAAAAAATCTTTTAGTACGAGTTGTATAATATTTTACTTCTAAGGGCTTCATAATATTGAGTTTGTTGAGTTTATTTGATGGAGTAAGTTTTAAGTCGAAACCAGAAACAGGTAAATAATAAAGTTGGTGTAGCCAGTGGTTAGAGTTTTAAAATTACTCACTTTGCAAGTCTGGCGTACTTCTGAACCGGTTCAGGACCAACGAGGAAAGCCGTCTCAGCGACCTCGGCAAATCCTAAACTTGGTGTTTGTGTTCGTCGACAGAGAGTGTGGGCACATTTAACAAGTATGTGGACGCAGTATGTACAGACCAACCCGATTAAAAATGTTGCTACAAGTCCGAAATACAGTCCAGCACTCTTAAAAGCTAAAGGCATCGCCAGGATACCCGAGCCAAGGCTGCCTTTCAACAAATGGATAAGAGTGTCAAGGTCTGATGTTGGATGCGATAATTTCCTATGCTCAAATGGGTTATAAAGAGCAGCTTCTTCATCGTTTGCTTTCTCAACCAATGGTAGCGTTGATCCATTTGATATCATTGTAGGTACATCATTTTTCTCACATTTGTATCTGCAATATAACGTTTGTTAGTATTTCATTTTTTTAATATTTATTTGTTATATAAAAAACACATTAGACATGTAATTTTTTTTTTTACGTACGTATGTGTAAATATTTCATTATTTTTTAGTTTTTTTTTTTTTCTATCAACTTTTACACGAGTGTTTAGCTTGGCTAAATTTTCATTAGCGAATCCGCGTCAAGATTTAATGTTCTATTTTTACGTGTCATTTTTAACATTTATATGTTAAAAAATTTAACTAAATTTAGATTGTATTGTGTAATGTTATATATATATATATATATATATATATATATTCTTTCCGTGTATATTAGATATTAATAATGGATTTGTTATACTTCAATGACGTAAGCAGAAAAATTCCATTAAATATAATGAAAAAAAATAAAAATCTTCAGTATAAGATTAGAGATAAAAATATTATAGCCGATGAATGAAGAAAAATTATCACTGAATTGTTAATGATTGGTGTGAAGAAAATTGTTAGGCGTGTAGTGAAAATAGCTGTCAAGGCTGTCGAAGATGCTGATTTGATGGAATAAATATTATTTTCAAAACTATATCAATAATAAACTAATTTAATAATAAATAATAAATAAATTGTGCTGTGAAAAATGAAATAAAATTTTTTTATTTTTATCTCATCATTATTCTACCTCGACTCTTAGTGAATTTTCAATAGAAAATATTGTTACATTAACCAAGTGAAATAACCAACACCTTAATGTTTTATTAATTACTATCGAAACCTCGGTAACGCGTGGTAGCCCTTAAATCCCTTTTTTTTTTTTTTGTCATGCCAGAGTTATCTGTGTTTAATAAATAAAGTGAGTGTATTTATAAAATAAAAGGTTATTATTTATTATAATTATTGAACAGAATGTCCAGCAAATTTCTTCGTCGATTTTTTTTCTATTAAAATATCATTGATTAGGAAAACAAATTTTTATTTTTAATGAGTTTTTATGTCAAAATTATCATTAATTATTAGATTTTCTTGAATTTTATAAACTTCATTTTTCATCTCATTAAATAATATTCATTTTCCTATTTTTCAATAAATTATTCAAATTTATGAACCATTAAACAATTTATCAATTTACGCTAATTTTAATAAAAATTATCCAATTTTGTAATTCATTGTCAAGGTTTGAATTATTATAATAACGCAGTAATGATATTGAGAATTCTTTGACAGGATTTGTAGGGATAGGAAGAAATCCTCAATACAATACATCTAATAATATAAATTAGGACCGAATGTTTTTGAAAAAAACTAACACGCGTAAAAATATAGTTATTGTCATTTTTTTATGAAGCAAAACTAAGTACTTGATGGAATTTAATTAATGAAAATAAAGTTAGCCGATTGCATCTAAAAACTTTTAGAAATTTTTTATTGAAAAATTATTACAAAAAAAAAAGAAAATACAAAATTTTACTTGTAAAAAACTCGAAAAACTATCAGTGCAATTTTTTAAAAATATTTTTTAGTTTTCATTTAATAAATAAAAAATAATTAAAAAATTTTAAATGTCGGCTAACTTTAATGACATATTTAATTATTAATTTTTCTATGAATTTACCGGATTGCTGGACATCCTATCCTTGACAGGGTCGATTGTACAATTTGATCAATAAAAAACAATGACAATGCAGTAGTAAAGAGACCGCAATAAATTTTTTTTATTTATTAATCATTTTTTTTTTTTTTTTTTTTTTTTTTTTTTTTATATAAATTCATTAATAAAATATTAATATTAAATGATATAAATCGTAAAAGGTAGAGGTTGTGTAGGTACCGGTTGAAGTGCGGTAGTCTCTCTCCTTAGGTGTGTTGCGAGCTCTCATTTTTGACGAGATAAGAGCTCTCACTTGTGAGATACTCTCGCGCTCGACGTGTCACGTGACACGGTGACACAACACGGGTTCACACGTGTTTCGTGTGTGAGAGACACACGCGTCTCACACATGACATTTTCTGGCTTAGAGATCAGGCTCAGCTGCAACCACCGCACTGCATCACCGACGCCCAGCGCCACGACGCAGTACGACGACTAACAAGCCATTGTTTACTTTAACATTCCACTTCACAACAAAAAAGGATAATACACGTTAACGAGATTATATCAGTTTATCAAAAATAGTCTAAATTTTTATTTCCATGTCAGTTCAATTATACTAATTGTTATTGTCTCGTTTATTTATTTATTTAATTTTTTATCTAATGTGTTCTTGTCTATTCAGTCTGTCAAGTCACTTATGTCTTCATTGATACTATTCATTTTGTCAATTATCATAGCTTTATTTACTTACAAAAGTAGTTAAATTATTTTTTTTTCTATTGTTGGTTTACTTTAATATCAATATGGCGATTAAAACAATAATAATAATAATAATAATAATAATAATAATAATAATAATAATAATAATAATAATTAACTATTTAAATTTAAAAGTAATTGTTTAATTTATTATGAAAATGAAGTTAGCTGACATTTCGAAATTCTTAGAAATTTTTTATTGAAAAAATTTCAATTAAAAAATTAAAAAAAAAAATTTCACATGTAAAAAACTTGAAAAGCTATAAGAGCAATTTTTTAAAAATATTCTTTTAGTTATAATTTAATTAATAAAAAAGATCAAAAATTTTTAAGAGCCTGCTAACTTCAATGTCATAATTTATTGCATACCGCATGATCTAAATTTTTACTCCAAATTATTCTAGGGCGCGCAAAAAAATAACAATTCACGTTATTATAAATTACAATCGCGTGATATTAATGTGAATATATAAATTTGTCTGTTATGCAACAGTAATATATAGTAATAATTATCGAGTGTCTAGCTTTCCTCATAACTTTTTTTGCTGAGTCAAGTTTTATTTATATAAAATCTAAGTATGCAACATTCCGTTGTTGAAAGATGACGTGTTACGCCCACGTATGTGTGGATGTCTAAGAAAATAAAAGATAAACATATCATACTTTTTGAAATGCATTTTTTGAACATAGTTGATAGGAAATTCCATATTATTAACATTAGTTTAAATTCTTTTCATTGAAATGCATGTACACAATTCATGCAGGATGATAATGAATGAAAAAGAGATAAGGTAGCTTATATCATTGAAGCAATATTCTTAAATTTTATATAAAGAAATATTATCTATGCAAAAGAATATATTTTAAGCTTGACAAGAATAAAATAAAAATAGTAAGCTGTTTATGATAATAAATGTTTTTATTTGAATGATTGTAGACAATTACTTTAAATTGAATTGTGAAAAGCTCATATATCAAATAAAAAAATTTTATTTTTAAGTCGATAAATATTTTTAAAAGATGTCGATTAATTCGGAGAATTACTTTATGTATACAATAATTAACCTTAATCAATTGACTGATCTATATTGTTGACAGGATGAATAATTCTTAAGAATTTTACGCGGCTACAATAAATGTGACATAATTATGATCATGAATATATGGTTGAAACAAATATATAAATACTTATTTTGGATTATCACAAAATTTTAAGCCACTTATTCATTACTGTGTGGGAATTTCCACCAAGTAAGTAGTTTTATTATCTGATTAGAAAAAGATTTATACGTTATTATCTTTATTACTGATTTTGAAATTAACATTGCTCAATAGTGTACTTGAAAAAACATTTTTTTTTTTGTTTTAATTCGTAGACTTGATAAATCTTTTTATAATATTTGTAGATTAAGATAAATCTGTGTTTATCTTTAAATTATAGAATTAACATACCCCATAAGAAATCTCAGTTATTAAGCGATGTAAAAAAAAAAAAAAAAAAAAAAAACCAGAAAATCCAGTTTTTTATCAAGATAAACTTGTAGGTAACATTTGTATTTACTTTTTATATTTAATTAACACTTTATTAAAACAGTTAATTGTAACTTATTTACAATAAAAAACACGTTTAATAATCTTGTTTCAAATAAATCAATTATTGTAAAACATTTATATTTACTTAATTTTTTTTCTTTGTAATTACATATTTTGTACTTGATATTTATGTATTATTTATTTAAATTTTTAAGATTTCGATTATATAATTATAAATCGGGGATAAAATAATCAAGATTTCTCATTTGCCAACAATGATTCTAGAGTACATCTTAGCAATTTCAATATCAAGCGATAATTTTAATATTGCAGTAACGAATAAAGAAAAAAAAACTCAATTAAAATAAATAAAAGTACATCCAAAATCTCAAACGATGATCAAACGGTATGCATACATCAATAACAATTAAAATATTTAATAGCACATTTATACATTATTTTTAAATAAATGATTTTCAATGAAAGTAAAGTATATTGGCGATTTTTACGTCGTACGTGTAAAATTTAAATAAATTCCTGGCTTATCAAAAATTATAAGTAAATATTTGATGATAAATCAATTGAAGCTGTTTAATTCATTTGCATTTTTTAAGATGAACTAATCAGTGATAGTGTCATAAATAATTAACTTTCAATAATACTCAATTAAAAATATCATTGAAATTTCATATCATAATTTTAATGAATTATTCTATAGCTTTGATACCGATTGAGAGGCCGTTGAGTTTATCGCTTTATAACTAGATTTTATTGTTTGAAGATAAATAATGATTAAGAAAATAATAATAATAATAATAATAATAATAATAAAAACTTCTATTACAGTGTGCGATTAAAAAATAAACTTTAACAACCAAAGATACATTTCAAGCCGAGTTAATTAATTTAAAAAATGTCGCCGAAAAATACTTTACTTTTAAAATAAAATTTTGAAATCAACAGCAATGGAATGATAAACGTAGATGTACATTAATATACATGATTGTCATTCTCCATTCGCATAAAAAGCTATTGAATTTTTAATATTATTTAAACAACTTTTTTCAGCAATAAAGCGATGATAATGATCAGTTTATGACAGTAAAGTCTGCGAGTCAAGTCAAAATTTTTAGTCAGATGATCAACGTAAACCGTTCCGTTTAATGGATTGTTTTTATTTATAATCAATAATTAAAAATAACAAAATTTAAAATCAGCATTGCTGGATAAATAAAATTGTAGAAAAACTTACTTGACAAGAACCATGTCTGACAATTCTGTTTTTGTTTCATGTCTTTTTGGGTCATATTCGGCAATCATTGGACGCATGGGTGTTCGCTGTAAATAAAAAAATGATTAATCATTATCATTGTTATTATAAGTGTTTGTTTAATTAAATTTAAATTTAAATGTATAAAGAGAGGAAGTATCAAAGTTAATGAGTTTAATGAATTTCTGAATAAATTTACCATTAATACCGCGCTTGAAATAACATTGTAAATAATGAACTTGGATAAAGCATTAATGATTAAACATTATATATTACACATACATTACGTAATTGTCAATATATATCAATATCAATGAACGGATACTAAACGATATCCTCGAGAGTAAATTATTAAACAAAATTATTGTGACACCCTATCTCAGCGCGCTTTATTGCTATTATCGCTAATTTTCAATCATCTAAGTTCCGGTAATATATTTATTAATATTTTCTTTCGACAGCGCAGTGTTATTTATTAGTAAATTTATTTTATTATCTAACAAACAAACAAATCTAAAACTATATTCATGGATGAAAACTATCTATGATTAATCGAATGATAAAATACGTGTGTAAAGAGTATTAACTTTTCCTCGTCCATCCGTTGGAACGTAAGTCGATGACAGTGAGCTCATTTCAACATCAAAATCACTCTCAGTGTGACTTATTTCCTCAAAATCCATTGTTATTTTATTGATTTTATTTCAATTTCTTGGCTTATTCGATTACTTTCAACTTTTTAATATTATAATATAATTAAATAATAAAAATAATACTTTAAAACCCATATAATTAATAAAAAAAGAAGCACTAAGCAGTATTAACGATTAACTGTTTGATATATTATGTACATATATATATATATATATTTCTTGCTGTCTATTGAGGTAAAGATGCATTAATAATCACTAATCATATTTAACTATGTGCACTTATTACAATAACTTATTAAAAATTCAGTAGAATCGTTAACAATGAGAGGCATTTTTAACAATTATTTAAAAAAAAAAAAAAAAAAGAGTTAAATATCACTGTTTCTTTTATTTCAAAATAAAACTTTTAGTGTTATTGTTTGATAACCGCACCAGCACTATCAAGTAATAAACTAACATTGAATAAATATTCAACACAAGTAGTTAATAAAAGTAGAACTAGAATTATTTCACCTATTTGACTGAACAATAATATTCATAATAATAATAATAATAATAATGATGAAATTATTTCAATAATAAATCCGTCTTAAACTGGTTCAACAATGACAATAACTGAATATGAGTCTCCGTCTCGAGTTTGATGCGTGTGCACTCTTGTATAGTAGATTAGTAAGTGACTCCTGACGAATAGAATAAGACTAATGTATAATGTAATGTCTAGAGTAGGGTAGTTTACTCTAGTAGAGTGAATACTTGAAGACGCAAAAAGCTTAACGAATCGTTGCCAAAATGAAACGTTTGAGAATGTCCCGAGGACGAATAAGCTTTCTTAATATATATCTTCTAACTTTATTCGGTCTGTACCCGATGCAAAAATAGGAAGAGTTGATGGTAGTTGGATGAACGTGTCACTATTAGGACCCTAACAAATTATTTTATTTATTATTTTTACCAATTCATTTATTTCTTCCTTATCACTTTTTTTTTTCCCTCAATTAAATCAATCAATAAGTGGCGTTTATGAGTAATGACTATAATAGGTGTGAGATATAAACAAGGTTAACGGAAATTCAAAATAAATAAAATTTTAATTTAAAAGTAGATGAGTTTCTATTTTTAAGATGAGGGCGCCACTTGGCAAAGTTACAAAAACTCTGTGTGTTTATTGTTAAATTTAATCAAAGAGAGATAATACTTAATATATACACAAAATTTAATAATATAACATTTTGAGTATTATATGTTAGATTAGATGTATTATCATGATTTTTTTTTTTTTTTTTATGAAAAAAAACTTGAAAAACTTTAAGTGCAATTTTTAAAATATTTTTTAGTTCTAATTTAATGAGCGAAGAAAAATCAAAAACGTCGGCTAACTGAAGTATTTTTTTTTTTTTTTTCATTTTAACTAAAAGAAATATCTAACTATTATTAATTATTTATTTTTGCAGTTAATGCGACGTACAATGTGATGAAAATTTTTTGTATACTCATTATAAACATTGAAATGTGGTTATTTATGCCAAATCCGTCAATCAGCAATATTTTCAGAACAAATTAGCATGAATTACATCCGGTACGTATTTATTATTAAAGAGACAGTATAAATTGTCACATTGCCAAGTGAACAAATAATATGAATGCACGCAGTTTTGAATTATTAAAACTACGTTTATTAATTTTTATCTGTCATCAGACATCTTGATTATCATATTCACATAAATACTAATGACTATATTGACTAATTATATTTTGAAACAAAAATACTTCCCTAATAAAAGGAGATATTTTTATTACAAACATATTTGGTGTAAAATGAATAAGTAAATATAATCCAAGTGACATATTTTTTTAAGACGTATTTGATTTATTTTATAAATTATTATTCCGATAAAATTAAAGAATAAACATATTAATTTCTTATTGAATTATTTATGTGAAATGATTTATTTATAAAAATCATACAATTGGCCTTTTATAAATAATAATAATAATAATAATAATAATAAATAAATAAATGAATAAAAATAACTTTTTGAATAATAATATTCAAATCATGTGCGATAAATTTAACGATTGATTTAGTTTAATCATCTATCAATTGTATCAATTGATGTTGAGACCGCGCGATTACAATTGGTTAAAACTAAAAGTGACCATGGAATTTAATTTATTTACTTTGTTTTGTTTTTATATTCTATGAGATTATATAATTTTATTGAAAACGGGCAGGTTGCCAGAATTTAAAGTGTATTTTTAAATAATAAAAAGTCACGATTTTTAATATTTTTTTTATAAATTTGACGTATAAAAGAATTAATAATCCAAGTTTATTTGTCAACATCCGTTGTATACATTTCTATATAATGTTATAAGTTGTGAACCAGAATAACACGGATATAGTGTTTCATAATAAAAACAAAAAAAAATAAATATACTTTTTTATCGATATACAAAGTATATAATAAGATGATAATGATAAAATAAATATTTTTAAAATGATTGAATAAGTAAATAATGAAACTAATTTCGATTAAATTTAATTATTATTATTATTATTTCTTTATGAATAAATCCTGACAGCCCATATGGCCAATTATGAGGATACAAAAAGATACATTAGTGTATGTTGTAAGGTACACATGTTGCAATGAGCAATTATAATAGAAAAATATCATTTAAAATACAGGTGTTTAAATTTGATTATGTAATAGAAAATTCGAAAATTTATATATATTATCACATTAAGATAGTATAGATAAGCTTGATACAATAAATATAATTTTTATTAAGGCGGTAGAGTATGATCATATGCTTTCGTTTTTGTAAATGATCCATATTCATTATAATATTACTACGTCAAAGCAGCATAATTTACTTGCAAATGAGGATGCATTTAACCCATAAAATAGATAATAATGCTTTTGAAGGTAAAATATAATGTTGCTAATACACCTATTACAGCTATTGTCTGATGACTGAAACGTTATATATAATAGATATTTATCAAATCAAAAACGAAAATAACTAAACAGTTTTATCAACTCTGAAACAATTTCATTCAATATACTATTTTTCAACTCGCCGAATATCTGATGGTAGATTAAAGCAATAACATGACTAAACTAATCTTCTTAATTGTGTGTAATGTATATATTTATAGAAATTACAGCCACAGAAACATTATTCACAGAAGATGGAACTATTTAGTAATTTAAAGACTTTATGAACTTTAAACAATAATTAAGAGTCAATGACCAAATATTAAAATGTTGATCTTCATTAATGAGATACAATTTAGTCAAAGATCATTGATGTGATGATGTACAATATATAAATTTATCAATTAATGTTTTATGTTATTATTATTATAGATAAAATCGATAAGTATTAGCTGTAAATTTAGTTTTATTTGTCAGGTTGTTAAAATAATATCAATATATAAATTAATAAAGCAAGGTGTATACTTCGACATGAATGCCGCGTAAATTAAATCTAGACCCGGAAAAAATGATAATTGGCCACTCGGAAATACGCTGACCGGCAATTACACCTTGCGTAATTACTTTACTGCTATATGTATGATGTTATTTATTGTTTGTTAAAATAATAATCAATCTGCATTTGTTGTGTAAATACTTATCTAGTAAGCAATAAATGTTCTATCACTCAATAATTATCTTTCAAGTGTGAAAATTTGACGCTTTACATGTATATAATTTCCAAGAATAAATTCGAGTTCCAGAGTAATGTAAATTGATAATTATAGAATGCAACTATTAACGTCATTGTGATGAAAGCAAGTTATTAAAATAAAACATGCGATATAATTTAACTTTGGATTTTTTTCCTTTGAATATGACGTAATTATTGATAATTTATGATGCAAGTTTTATTAAATATGACAAATATATTTTTTTATTTTAAAATTAATATTCAATGTCAATTCTTACGAATAAAAAATTTTTATGCACTGATAAAAAAAAATTAACTTGATTTAAGAAAAAAATTGTGAACCAAGGTAAACGATTTTCTTGGGTTTTAAATTCTTGAATTTCAATCTTTATATCTTTGATCGGTAACTATCGTTATTTGATTCAAAGCCATGTATATCTTCAGTCAGTACGACGAATTTATTCCATCAAGAATAATTTATAAATTCAAAAGTTAATTTTTTGAATTAAAAGCTGAATTATTTGAATCAAGAATGAAGTTTTGATTAAAAAATGTTTTTTTTTTTTTGTTGAGGATATTTAATTTTCTTTTGATTTATTTAAACAACTAATACTGAAAATGTTTATAAAAAGAATAAATTACGCAGAATCAATACCGATAATTAAGCGGTCGCTTTACTGTTATTACCGATAAATGTAAAACGCATCACGTATAAACGGTTAAGTACATTTTTAGCCTTGCAGCTATTGTTACATCACCTCGTTTCATGATCTATAAATATCTGGGTTTATTTGTATCCTAATTGATATGTGTCAATATTTATTACAAATATAAATACAAATTATTTTTCATTTATTAAGATCAATTAATGTTAATGAACGTGCGAATATCCGTTATAATACGCTATACTCAATGTAAAATTCAAATTGGTTATTGTTATTAATCGTTATATTAATAACTATAACCATTATTATAACCATAACAATATCAAAGTTTAACCAGAATCTTCTGGAAATAATTATACTGCAGTCACCAAAGTTTAATAAGTGTCAAATGATATTTTATTGAATCATATTACTTAAGTTAAAAATATTCCACTGAATTTATTTTTATAATTATTTATTACCCATTAATAATGATTATATCAATATTAGATATCATTGATATCATATTATTCTTCTTAAATAAATAATGAAAAAAAAAAAAAAAATCAAATTAGTTATTTCTTTAATACTAAATCAATTGCTTAACTTGGTCTTAAATAAATGTTTACAATCTAAACATTCTTTTATAATTACAATTTGATAATAAAAGTTGATAATATATTTGAGTTTCTGATAACAATAAGTCAG